TGACTCATTGGAAAAGACCCTGATGCTGGGAGGGATTGGGGGCAGGAGGAGAAGGGGACAACAGAGGATGAGATGGTTGGATGGCATCACTGACTTGATGGGCATGGGTTTGAGTAAACTCTGGGAGTTGGTGATGGACAGGGAGTCCTGGCGTGCTGCAGTCCATGGGGTCGCAAAGAGTCAGACACGATTGAACTGAACTGAATGGAATAATATTGGCATATGTTGATTCATTAATCCAGGTCATAACAGAATACTATTATTCCAGATAATGTTCTATTTTCAGGGGAATATAACAGTGAATGTCATCAAATATGATGACATATTTGCTTGCTAAAATGTTTTTTGAACACTACCAAAACAACAATAACAACATACCTAGAAATCTTCTCTATCACTTCTTAGTTTATCTTTTATTAGTACTTTCTTTTATTTTATGTATGCATTTTCCTTGTTTACAAATTCCTTCCTTTCTCCACAGATTTAAAAAGAAACTACAAAATAATTTTCTTCTCCATATCCTCTCTTGCTGATTAACGTTGCTAATATCAGCAGTCTTTTAGATTTCTGAAGATGACAGAATTACTGTTTCCTACATTGAGGGGATTTTAGTGCTATTACAAACTGTGGCAATATTTATCCACTTCTACGTGCTGTTTACTAGTCCTAAGTATATATATATATTTTTGGGAAAAATGGTGGCTCTCTATCTCACAGGAGTTTGCAAATACTGTCAACATATTCAAAATACTAGCATGTACGGACTATTTGTGTTTTCTTGACAAAATATCAATGTCTGAAAAAGGTGCCCTTGAAGCCATTTGTCTATCTTGGGGAGTAGATTGAAGTTAAAAGATAAATATGGGCTCCTGATGCTACCCATAAGTATTTGGTCTTCTATATTCTTGTGGAAAAAGCAGTCTGCTTCATTAATTCTAAACTTTTGTTGTACAGATTTGAGTAACATACTATGTGAGTCAACTATTCAAACCTCTTGGGACTTTAGAAGTTTATGTAAAATACATTTCATGTTAATTGGGCAAGTGACCATCAACACTTTCTTAAATTCTAATTAACCAGAAAAACTAATAGTTACATAACTGGGGGGCCAGCCAAGGGAGATATAACATGTGGTCTTGTTTCCACAGAGTTCCATGTAGTTTCAGGGTTTAGAGACTAACACTGGAAAAGGCAAAGAGGCAGGAAACCTCAAAATTGAGATTATACTTCAAATTAGTCATTTCTCATTTTAGTGCATGTTCAGTTGCATCCAACTCTTTGCAACGCTATGGACTGTCACCCACCAGGCTCCTTTATCCATGGGATTCTCCAGCAAGAATACTGAAGTGGGTTACCATTTGTTCCTCCAGGAACTCTTTCCAACACTGGGATCAAACCAGCATCTCCTGCATTTCCTGCATTAGCAGGTAGATTCTTTTACCACTGAGCCACCTGGGAAGCCCCTAGTTTTGGGGTCAAGACTTCAAATCTATAGAAAAAAAATTTTGGTCTGCTAAGGGAGTGGTTATATTTTAGTATTTCCCAAATCTTATGCAAATTAACTAGTGTAATGTATTTTAATTCTTTTGCACACTAGCCTTAGCCTACAATTAATAAGATTTACCTAGAATTAAACAGTATGTGAAAAACACTACACCAAGGCCTTTGGCTGTGTGGATCACAACAAACTGTGGAAAATTCTTAAAGAGATGGAAATAACAGACCACCTGATCTGCCTCCTGAGAAATCTGTATAGAGCTCAAGAAGCAACACTTAGAACGAGACATGGAACAACAGACTGGTTCCAAATCAGGAAAGGAGTGTGTCAAGGTTGTATATTGTCACCCTGCTTATTTAACTTACATGCAGAGTACATCATGCGAAATGCTGGACTGCATGAAACACAAGCTGGAATCAAGATTGCCAGGAGAAATATCAATAACCTCAGATATGCAGATGACACCATCCTTATGGCAGAAAGGGAAGAAGAACTAAAGAGCCTCTTGATGAAAGTGAAAGAAGATAGTGAAAACGTTGGCTTAAAGCTCGACTTTCAGAAAACTAAGATCACGGCATCTGGTCCCATCACTTCATGGCAAATAGATGGGGAAACAGTAGAAACAGGGACAGACTTTATTTTTTTGGGCTCCAAAATCACTGCAGATGGTGACTGCAGCTATGAAATTAAAAGACATTTGCTCCTTGGAAGAAAAGCTATGACCAACCTAGATAGCATATTAAAAAGCAGACCTTTGTTACTTTGCTAACAAAGGTCCGCCTAGTCAAAGCTATGGTTTTTCCAGTAGCCATGTATGTATATGAGAGTTGGACCATAAAGAAAGCTGAGCGCTGAAGAATTGATGCTTTTGAACTGTGGTGTTGGAGAAGAATCTTGTGAGTCCCTTGGACTGCAAGGAGATCCAACCAGTCCATCCCGGGGGGATATCAGTCCTGAATATTCACTGGAAGGACTGATGCTGAAGCTGAAACTCCAATACTTTGACCACCTGATGCGAAAAACTGACTCAATGGAAAAGACCCTGATGCTGGGAAAGATTGAAGGTCGGAGGAGAAGAGGACAACAGAGGATGAGATGGTTGGATGGCATCACCGACTCAAAGGACATGGGTTTGAGCAAGCTCCAGGAATTGGTGATGGACAGGGAAGCCTGGCGTGTTGCAGTCCACAGGGTCACAAAGAGTTGGACATGACTGAGTGACTGAACTGAACCTAGAAACATCATCTGATGGTTTTAGATTTATTAACATAACCTGTGAACACTGTAATATAAATTTTGGGGTTTGCAAATAAGAAAATGCTATAATAAATAAAGAGGTAATTTCTGCTGCTTTAATTGTTTATACTTCAAATATTCACTGAGTATGTTTATGAACTAGGAACTGTGATAGAGCATAGTTCTTGCCCCAGTGTACTCTCTGCCCAGGAAGAAGAATGCTGGTTCAGTAAAGAGTTACTTGTCTGGACTCCCTCCACGTGTTTGTGTGCCCATAAGAATAATAGAAAGGTAAACACCCTCCCACCCCAACATGCCATATTGGCTTGTTAACCACTCTATACCATCTCCACTCATCACAAGGACATTTTCCCATGTACTGCACTTATTATAAATTTAACTGTAAATTTTCCTGTGCAGAATCAGAATCCTCTTGATTATAAAACAGTGTATCTTGCTCAGTCAAATGAATGTTCCTTTCCTGTGTTATATGTATGTGATGTCTTTGAAATGGTTTTCTTCCCATTCCTCTTGCCTTTCCAGATTGAGATTTCATTACCTCCTGCCAGCAAACACCTCCTACCTGGTGTTTCCCTCAGCCTCATTTAACTCCAAATTCTCCCTGACACTTAAATCTTATTCTTATTTCAGAATGTACCTAAAATCCTATTTACACAACATTTCCCTGGGTACTCTCAATGACCCTTAATTCTCTGAATGGTGGATTTTATGTCTATATAGCTTGTCACCAGGCCCAGGAATATCTCATTTTACTGAAGACTATTTTTCTAAATTGAACTATAGCTGATTTACAATGTTGTGCTAGCTTCTGTTTGCAGTAAAATGATTCAATTATATATATGTATGTATGTGTATATATATATATATTTATTTATTTCATATTCTTTTCTATTATGGTTTATTACAGGATATCAAATATAGTTTCCTGTGGTATACAGTATGACCTCATTGTTTATTGATTTTATTTGTACTAGTTTGTATCTGCTAATCCCCAATTCCTTTTTTATCCCTCCCCCATCTCCTTTGGTAACTGTACGTTTGTTTTCTAAGTGGAGATTTGTTTTATATATGTATTTTGTCTTCTCAGTGTAGCAGAAAGCTCTTTCTGGATGTGAATCATATTTTATGAGCTCTGACCATGTCATGTAGCTGAGTCCTGTGAGTGTCTGGAAAATTTCCTTTTAAATTAGACCCCTCAAAGCATTAAGCATAGTGATGACCATCCAGTACAAATTCAAAAGTCACATACTGAAAGGCTGCAGTACCAAGGGTTTCCAACTATCACATAGACATGCCTGCTTAAGGAGTGTTGGTATGCCCCAAAACTCTAAGATGTTCTCAATATAAAAAGCCAGTCACTTCAGTAGTCTGTGCACTTTAGTTCAAAGTGAGTTACTTACTAAGGCAAACTTTTTGTTGAGAATCATCTGTTCCACCAAAGATGACTCATTATGGAAGAGGTGGGGCTGCATATGGCTCCACATATGTGGAAACCACCAGAACTCATCAACAGACCCCAAAAGACGGTCATCCCCTTCATCTTCCTCTTCAGTTCCTGGGGGGTAGGGAAGAGGGAAAAGATTATTCAATTAATTTCAGCTACACTGATTGCCTCTTCATCTGTATGTATATCTGTCCATCTATCCATCCAATTATGTAATCCAATATATGCATTTAGAAGATACCATTTATACTATCTTACATACATGTAAAACATTGAACATGAATTGTAACACAGGAAAATCTGTTGCTTGGGGAACAACCAGAGAATGTGATACAACTCTTTTTTAAGGTTTTAAAACATGAGACATGCATATAAAATCTGTGCAAGAAGGAAATACACAATCATTCCAAAGGACTTTAGAATTTTTAACTTTTAGGATCTTTGTATTGTTTAGGTTTGGAGAGAAATGGGGGATAAGCAGGGAGTGCAACCCAGGGAATATGAGTGGGAAATGTGTTGTGGAGCTCTAATAGTATTTAGATCACTCTGACAGGGGTTGTTAACACAACACTGCCAACAAAATAATTCCATAATTTATCTGGGTTACTCCTTACATTTGCGAATAAGTTCAGCTCAGTCACTCAGCTCTGTCTGACACTTTGTGACCCCATGAACTGCAGCATGCCAGGCCTCCCTGTCCATCACCAACTCCCCGAGTTTACTCAAACTCATGTCCATTGAGTCGGTGATGCCATCCAACTATCTCATCCTCTGTTGTCCTCTTCTCCTCCTGCCCTCAATCTTTCCCAGCATCAGGGTCTTTTCCAATGAGTCAGGTCTTCACATCAGGTGGCCAAAATATGGGAGTTTCAGCTTCAGCATCAGTCCTTCCAATGAATATCCAGGACTGATTTCCTTTAGGATGGACTGGTTTGATCTCCTTGTTGTCCAAGGGACTCTCAAGAGTTTTCTCTAACACCACAGTTCAAAAGCATCAATTCATCGGCGCTCAGCTTTCTTTATAGTCCAACTCTCACATCCATACATGACTACTGGAAAAAACATAGCCTTGACTAGATGGACCTTTATTGACAAAGTAATGTCTCTCTTTATTAACATGCTATCTAAGTTGGCCATAACTTACCTTCCAAGGAGTAAGCGTCTTTTAATTTCATGGCTGCAATCACCATCTGCAGTGATTTTGGAGCCCAGAAAAATAAAGTCAGCCACTGTTTCCACTGTTTCCCCATCTATTGCCATGAAGTGATGGGATTGGATGCCAAGATCTTTGTTTTCTGAATGTTGAATTTTAAGCCAACTTTTTCCCTCTCCGCTTTCACTTTCATCAAGAGGCTCTTTAGTTCTTCACTTTCTGCCATAAGGGTGGTGTCATCTGCATATCTGAGGTTATTGATATTTCTCCCGGCAATCTTGATTCCAGCTTGTGCTTCCTCCAGCCCAGCATTTCTCATGATGTACTCTGCATATAAGTTAAATAAGCAGGGTGACAATATACAGCCTTGATGTACTCCTTTTCCTATTTGGAACCAGTCTGTTGTTCCATGTCCAGTTCTAACTGTTGCTTCCTGACCTGCATACAGGTTTCTTAGGAGGCAGGTCAGGTACTCTGGTATTCCCATCTCTTTCAGAATTTTCCACAATTTATTGTGATCCACACAGTCAAAGGCTTTGGCATAGTCAAAAAGCAGAAATAGATGTTTTTCTGGAACTCTCTTGCTTTTTTGATGATCCCGCGGATGTTGGCAATTTGATCTCTGTCTCCTCTGCCTTTTTTACTAATGCATAAAAGGGAGAAAAAGGGAAATGTGGGAACTGTTATTGAGAAAACTAGAGAAAACTGAAGGAAAGAAAAAAAAGATGGTGATGGAAATAAGCTGAGAAATGAAGTCATCGTATAACAACCCAAGAATCACGGTGCTCCTTGGTGGAACTCATGTTCGTCATGCTTGTCCTGTCTTTCAAGTTCTTGGAAGCAAACTTTTCATCAAGAAACCTCTGTTTCCTTGAGAGTCAGCTTTGTTGTTCTTCTGAATCTCATATTTGGGCTTATTTTATTTCCTTCATTTTCTCTGGTCTGCAGTTTAGTTGAGTGTGGGAAATGAAACAGTTCTCTAATATATATGCAGGAGTAGGAGTCTCTTTTTATACTTCTCCAGGCAGAGTTTCTTTATGAAAGCATAAATGAGAGCAGTGTAAGGTGTCTGTCTTGGCATCGCATAAGATGATGTTAATCATCACAAAATTATGCAGTCACACTTTAATTTCAGCAATGACACTCAATTCCATAAGGTCCTAGAACAGTAGATTCTTTAAATGTTGTCCCTTCTGCATGGAGAAAAACGTCCGCCTATTTCCAATAGCAGTTCTTATGTGACTGGTTCTGATGGGTCTCTAGAGGGTAACAAGGGTGGACAGATTGTTCCGCCTGCACAGCCAGCCAAGCCTACTGCTTGTTACCACCCCCTATGATATAATTTTCTGAAAGAATGAAGGTAGAGCGTACTGGCAGGAAAAGGAGCAGTTAGATCTTATGATTTATTGGGCAATGAAAGAGACCAAAGATAAAGATGTAATATGAGGCTGCATGGTTGTTCTGATGTATGCAGGAGGAACAGGATTAGTGATATAGAATGGGTGTAATAACATAATCTTTCAATAAGGACAGTCTTCAATTTCACCTTCATACGCTTAAGTACTTTGCTGATGTGAGGGAATTCTTGCTCTCTGTGTAAAGGGCATATTTAAATCAAATCTGTTTTGGTTCCCTTATTTTATTCTCTTTAGCATACTACTCATGTTACTTTCGTTACTCATGTCAGTAGAGTTGAACAAGTACAGCCTTTGGAGTTAGAAGCTTTTTAGTTTATTTCTAGGTTCCAGCACATTTGAGCTGTGGGCAAGTAGGCAAAAATATGGACAACAATACCTATTTTATTCCTTTTGTGAGAAAGTATCTACATAGTCCAGGCACACACTGGGTAATTTAAAATGCCCGTGTCCTTCCCTCCTGTATTTCTTGCTCCTGTTCTTGCATCTTCTACATGTCTCCTAGAGTTTTTCCTTTTTTTACTACAGTACTATATGGGGGGTGGGCTCACCAGAGTGCTATGTGACAGAGGGGACACTGTATTTAAGAACTGATCAAGCCATTATATTAAGTAATTGCTTGATTAATGAGTCACCCACACCAGGCATTCTTGGGGCTTCTAAGCTCTGGGAAGCCTTCTAGAAAGGAATGAGAAAGAATAGGAAGATACAGTCAGGGGCATAGAAATCTGATGACCCCAGTCATGGCAAAGTCTTGTGCCCTGCTGCCTTTTAGGTAATAAATAAGGTGGCCCTGGTAAAGAGACATTTGCTAAGTGTGACTGGTGATGCTTAAATACGTTTTTCTTTTTTTTCTGACATAAGGATGATACTTTTGGTTTCCCTGCAGTTAAATGTCTCTACTTATATCTCTTCTCTTGCTTAACATTTTGTATGTCCTCAGGACACCCTATTAGTTAAGATTATTAGTTAAGTCAATTACTTGTTGCAGTTTTACTTTCGCATACTGAAAACAAGTAGATTTCTCTTAGGGTTTCCTAGTAATCAGTTCATTACTGATTTCCACCTCCTCTGGGAAAAGTGAGCTGAGATTTCCTACTTTATGAATAAAGTCACCCCTCCAACTACTTTTAAGCTCCATTCTCTGTCTCCTATAGTTCCTACCTTTCCCTATCTTTCTTCTTCTCTCCTGTTTATTCATTTTTCTAGTTGGCCTTTACTCAAAGTTTATATGTGAGGACAGTGCAACAGATTTCAGAATTCTCTGGAAAGATTGCTCAGGCATTTGTTGTCCTTTCCTGAGCACCCTAGAGGGCCCCTCTCATAGGCTTATGTAAGGTCATAGCAGGCGTACGCCCTTCCTTTTTTCTTTATAGCTCTCCCTTATCTGATTTCCTTTCTTTCTACTTTGCAGATATTTTACATCAGAATTAATTACACTGAGAATAAGTATCTGTTGCCTAATACTTCAAACATCATGATAAAAAACAGCTGAAACAGTTATTAATGGTTTGATTAGCCTGGCTTCTTGTCACTCCTTTGTTTCTCCACTTTTCCAACTTTTGTCAGAACTGGAGAGAGAAGAACTCAGGTCAAATTCCTCAATTTTAAGTGTCATTTCTTAAATTGTTACAAAACTACACTGAAATCTTATAGTTAATGTAAATTATTATTTTATTATGTATCTATTTAAGTAACTTGTGTCTCTTCAATATTTTTTCTGTAATATTTTTACTCTGATACTATATTAAAAACTATCATTGAGACTATCTTAACTGTTTTTCAAGTATTGTCTCATTTAATTCTCACTAGAACTATGCACTCAAAGCCACTAACTCCATTTTACAGATAAGGAAATTGATATTTGTAGAGGTGATGCAATTTACCACAAGTCAATGGAAATACGGGATAGACCCTGAATTCAGAATCTTAATTCTAACCCAGATTACACAACTCCAAATTCAGGACCCTTAACCATCATTCATAGACCAAATGTGGAGTTTAGAGATAAGATGAGCATTTACTAATTTATATAACTTTGCTCTTCACATTGTTAATTAATTTTCTGATATAATTAAAATGTACCAACACTATTGGTTTTCATCTGCAGCACTATTTCAGATGGTGACTGCAGCCATGAAATTAAAAGACGCTAGGTTCTTGGAAGACAAGTTACGACCAACCTAAATAGCTTATTAAAAAGCAGAGACATTACTTTGCCAACAAAGGTCCGTCTAGTCAAAGCTATGGTTTTTCCAGTAGTCATGTATGGATGTGAGAGTTGGACTATAAAGAAAGCTGAGTGCTGAAGAATTGATGCTTTTGAACTGTGGTGTTGGGAAGACTCTTGAGAGTCCCTTGGACTGCAAGGAGATCCAACCAGTCCATCCTAAAGGACATCAGTCCTGGGTGTTCATTGGAAGGACTGATGTTGAAGCTGAAACTCCAATACTTTGGCCACCTGATGTGAAGAACTGACTCACTGGAAAAGACCCTGATGCTGGGAAAGATTGAAGGGGACGATAGAGCATGAGATGGTTGGA